AACACCGGCTATCCTCAGAAGAGCTCTTTTGGGTTGAGGCATGCAACAGCTCTGACTTGATGACAACCCAGGAGAAAAGGAATGAAGATCTTAGGGTGATGAGACTACGCTTAGCCTTGCTTCATTATCACATAACAAGGAAAGGACATACTTAGTTCACAACACAGAGCAAAAAAATACATTTACAAATAACAGTTAGTACCAGGATTTCTTGGGAAAAGGTCTGTTCAGAGAACAAAGCTGATTCATAACCCACAGAAAATCCACTCAACATGAGAAGAGTCAAGTTATCCTGTAAGGAATGATGCATGAATAGATTTGCTTTGTACTCTCAAAGCTAGATACTTTAGGAGGAATTTGTATGTTAAAAGAAGAAGGAGATGGACCAATTTATGTTGGTCAAAAAAGTCTAAACATCTATTAGGTGGAAAATTGGATGTTTCACTAACTACATTTCATGCCAGAAGCTCTTTACAGCCTTGTTTTGCCCAAACACCAAACGTACCAACCCTGAAATATTTTCTGTTGTCAGTGTCAATGTCATTCTTCTGACACTGCTCTCCTATTATTACTTGTGTGGAGGATGGTATAACCTGTGATGCCACATAGGTTGGCACTTATACCTTGGCTCAGTGGGAAACAGTGTGGTGTACCAGGAAATGTAGGCCTATTAGGAGGATCACTATGTAAAGGGCAATAAGGGTAAGGGACAGGGAAAATATATACCCAATGGCACCATGTGCCATTCAGAAATATCCAGGAACTGTGTTTTTCTGAATTGAATTTACATGAAAAGAGAAATTTCAAAGAAAAGCCCTGGTTTGTCAGGTACCTCCTGTCCTCATCAGCCACTTGAATTTAGGAGTTTATACTAAAAAAAAAAAAATAGACATTGTTGCAGGCATCACTCAAAATCCTACCAGTGTCCATTGAAAGATGATTGTTGAAAATGTGGTGTGTAAACCACAGCCTCTGCAATTGCTGATTCTGGGTTTCAGCTGTTGTAAACATGCTTTTCTCATATAGAGAACAAATATTTTAAGAGTTTTTCAAATTCTTTTTTGTTACAATTTGGTTATGTGTTAAAAATTGTCTTGTTTAGCTCTACCCCTATGCTGAACACTGGTTTCTGCTGAACACACAAAACAATAGCTTGCAGACAAGTTATGCTGCATCCTACACAATAAAATTGCTAAATGAACATGAAGGAAGTTGCAAAGTTAAGGACTTAAAAGATTGACACGGTCAAAGTGAAAATCGCTTTTGCAAAACTTTGGTTTCTTACATTTAAAAAAACTCCAGGATCATGCCCTCTTGTCTCTGCAGTGTCCCTGACATACCAGTTGGAAGGAAAGGTGGGTGCTCAATGAAGTAATAGCTCAGTTGAGCTATTCAGTATCTCCTCACTGGTCAGTATGTGGCTCCACACTTCACAAACTCACCCTGCTCAGCTCTGCTCTGATGACAGAACTATTTGTTTCTTCATGGATATCTGAAGGTACTTAGCTCAGCTATAGCCAAATATTTTGAAAACAAATATATTTTTCTTTTCACAGCTCTCAAAGGAGAAGAAGGTTCTTTAGAGCCATTTCACTATCCCATCTTCAAAGCAATGCCAAAGTATGTCTCTATTTTGAGTGTGGATTCCTGACCCCTTGGTGTTATAGAGCACTTCACATCCTTAAAACGTAACTCCGATCAGCTCCAGCTCCAGCTGGAAGTGTGTTGGACTTTGGCAAAACTAGTCCTTTATTTGCCTTCACAGTGAGATTAATTTCAGCTAGTTTAGTTGTGTACTGGGTACCTTGGAGCTAGCGATCTTTGGCCTCCCTCAGAGGTACTGGTGCTGTCGGGGTGTGATTCATCTGCCTGGTTTAAGTATATTAGGAAGAGATAGCTGCAGCCTCAAAATACCTATTTTTCATTGCTGGTTATGTAGAAAGCTGAACAGCTGTTGGCTGAAGACCACACACTGTTTGCATCCAATGCCAGGGACTATCTTGACATTGGAGAAGATGGCAACAGTGTGGAAATGAGTAGTATAGGGGTCTGCAGAGGACCAGAAATGCCCAGCAAAAACCATCAGGTCTTTGCTCTTAAAACCCTTTCCTCAGCAAACTCCAGTCTTGCTAAACTGCCCATCCTTGACAACACCTCAGAAATGTATTTTCTTCACAGAAGTTGGTCATATTGGGCCAGCTTTGTCTAATTCTTGCCCTGTCCTGACATAATGCATCCCCAAACCCAATGGAGTAAAATGTCAGTTTTTTGCTCTGACACATGGTATTGCTGGAGCTTTTTAAACCTAACTCTGTCCCTGTAACGCTTCTTATAGTAACTGAACACTGTGTTTTTTCCTGTCATCTTTCTCAGATATGGCTATCTCATTTTGTCTCACATTTGGCAGAACAAATTCAGCCTGTTACAATCAATGACACAGGATAGAAAACTTTGCCTAATAGACAACTGGGACTATTCCAGAAGAGTTCTGTAATGTTAATAGGTATTATCAGCCCTACCTAGAATACAGCACAGTAATCACATCAAGTAAAAGTCCTGATTGATCAACGAGAAGATAATTCAGGTTGCTTTCTCAAGGAAATATACTAATTTTCTGAAAAGCCTTGACCAGAAGTGCTGTATGTACTCACTAAAGTGAGCACTCTTCTAATCAAAACCGTACAGGTAGCATGAAGCTTTTGTACTTTTCCTTGCCCACAGGGACACAGCTGCTCATACCTAGTTCATGCTATTTGTAGTGGCAAAACCCATTAAAAACAAGCTGGTAGCAAGAGATTAAACAATCACCTTGCATGATCGTACTAAAGAGCATGCCCACTCTTTTGCTCAGTCTTTGTTACATCTCATTAACTAGATTATCAGAATTTATAATCAAATATTTATCCAAATGTAAATTAATGAAGATAGATTAGACTAATGAAAAGCTCCTTCCCAGAATATACAGGACAAAGTTTTGTGTGTGCAAATACAATAAAATTGCCACACCCAGCATTTATGCACAGATGCATTTAATGTTATATGGTGTATTTTGGTACTGGTTCCAAAACTTCCGTTGAGAGATTTTATAACATTTTGCCCACTGGATCACAGTAGTTTTAAATTTTTCAAGATCTATTTTTTTCCTGTTTGTGGTACATCCATTATAGCAACTGCCTTCAGATGCGTCAAGACACTGCGATATAAAAACAGACATTTGGCTTTAAATAGTTTTATTTGGTGGTGTGGTGGGTGGACTGGACGCAGAGTAATCCAGTACATAGGTCATGGGAGATCTGGGTTCTATTCCCAGTCACTTCAGTGAATCAGTGCATTACTTTGGCCAGGCAGAGGCAAAGCATATGTTCAAACTTGGTTGCCCAAATCATTATCTGAGGTCCAGAATGCTGCATCTTTTGTATCAGCAAAAACTGTGCTAAACCCCTCCATCTGTCTCTGGCCTTCTACACAGGGTATTGTGTAGGAAGGGAACCACACACACTCATTTGGGCTCAAATAATCCTTTTTTCTGGCTATTCCCAAACACAGGTAGACTGTTTCCCTGTTGTTCTGCACTCTGGTGGCTTCTTCATTGGGGCACAAGAAGTCAGTAAGCACCGTCAAATGCTTTACCTATATAATGTACTCACAAGCTCGTTATCCATGTGCCTACCTCTCTCCTGTGCCCTTCTGCAGGATGTCAACATGTTCTCCCTGCAAGGAAACCCAGCTCACAGGTTGCTTTTCACAGTATTATCTCTAGACAGACAAAATCAATGCAGATGACTCCCAGACAGGTATCCAGTGCCTGGACTATTCCTCCAGTGCTACCCCAGCAGGCTGTGGACCCCCATCTATCCCCATGCCATGCCCACCACTGCATCCCTGCTATCATGCCCTCAGAATGACATTCTGGTAGGCTGCAGTATAGCCCCAGTGTTATTACAGACACTCTGAAATGGAAAAAGAGAAGCAGAAATCAGATTTGAGGGCTGTGTAAGCAACAGTGTAATTTGCCTGGGAGAGCAATGGATTTGCCCTCACTGCAATGCTTTAAGAATAGTCTTGAAAAAACAGGTCAGGAATGGTTTGGGGCCAAGTGATCTTTCCCTGAGAAAGGGAGATGGGCTGGAAGACCCATTCATCCCCTATGTTTTAATGTATTTATGCTAATTTGGCACGAACTCATTTGATGGAAACATTCTGTGGTACAAAGCAGATGAGAACCTTGCCTTTTGACTGGATGATGTCTAATAAACAAAACTGGAACCTGGTACCTCGCAGCTTTTGAGACCCTGTGTCTGTGTCTTTGCTGGCATTTTTAACGAATAAACGATTCCTGTGGACCAGGATCAATGGGGGACATGCGGCAGATGGAATAGTTCATTGCAATTGCTCTTGTTCCCATTTGATTTAATGCTCTGCACCATAGCTGATTATTCCAAAGCAGTTGCCCATTTTTTTTTTCCATGCCAATTCTGCCACTTCCACGTCAGAAAATTTCAGGAGATACCTGACAGACACTGCTCTGACATTCAAAGTAGTCAAATGGTCTGTCTTTCATCCTCTTCCTTTTAAATGGTACTTTTGATCAAGTCCTCCTGTGCACAACAGAACTAAAAAAGTTTGGTTTCCTGTGGCATTCTGTCTTGTGGTGGATTTTTAGTGAGTATTTTCTCATGTCTAACCAGGGTCTAAGCTCACTCTGCGACCTTAGTTCTGTGAGGGGGAGTATAAAAGTTACCACTCCTTTACCCATCTGCACATTTTTATAGAAACTTGGTATATTGAGGACTTGTAGCACATTGTCAGATGTGATTCAGATTGATGAAAGAGTTCATCAGGTGATGGGGAAAGGCTTATTCAGACACAGGCACAGGGCGGTGTCATAAGCCCTTTTTTTCTTAGGAAACCATGCTAAATGCTCTTCTACCAGAGTAGAATTATATTCTTCACTTCAAGTAGAACAGACCTGGTCTCATCTGAAATGTGTTTCTACCTACATTGCCTTCCCCATCACTTATTTTGTAAGTGGTTACTGACGCTTGAGCACTGCTATGTCTGTGCACAATGTTTTGTGAAAGGACTTCTGCGCTGTGGAAAACACCTACAAAAATACTTTTGTTTTGGCTTGAAGGAGGCTTTCTCTGAGCCTGGTTTCTGCGGCAGCTGCCTTTCCTTCAGGGTGCAGGTAAAAAAAAAACCCAGCACACTGTTTTTCTGAATCCTAGCTGAAATGAGGACCAGCTTCTACTGCAAGCACAGGCAGGTCACCACTCCAAGGCAAATGTAAAGACCATCAATATGGAGGGTTTTGCTCACAGTGAGGGATCTGTTAAGTCATTCCTTTTCTGGGAAATCTGATGCTTGTGGAGGGACAGAGTGAAAGGAGTCTTGGATTGTGGCCTTCACCCTTATGTGGCATTAGCTGTGGGTGCTGCTGTGTCTTCCTCACACCCATCTTGATTTCGAATCAAATCCAAAGAATGACAAACATGGGAGCTCACTGCCAGACCAGACTATGCTGCTTAAAAAACCACAAGGGCCATTGAGGTGTCTAAATTGCCAATTGGGGTACTGGCTAGACCATCCCTGATCCCAAGGGATGGTTGTTTTCTCTTAGATGCTTCTGGGGTCTGTCACACTGTGACACTGTCTTTGCACACTCCCCAGCCACTGAAGTGTGGATGGACAGCAGAGCTCCATCTGTCCTCCTATTCTTACTTCCTCCTGGATCAGGTTTGAGAAAGCAGGTAACAATCTATGGGGGTTGTGTAGGGGGTTCTGGTTCCTTGACCCGTTGCATAGGTGTCTTACTGCAAGGGCAAATCCTGCACCTACCTTTTAGCTGGGTTTTCCATTAGCAGAAGAGCCAGTGACACCTCTATGGTTCTGTGACTTCAGAGAGAGTTTCTCCATCTATTCTCTCTCTCCAATAAAGGCTTGAGCTGATACAGGATTGAGCTTTCTCTCACCTGGTCATCTTGTTTGCATTAGATTTAAAAAACCCACACTAGGGTGCATCCCACCTGTCTGCAAATACCGGCAGTACAGACACCATCAGCTGGTTAGTTGCCCTTGGCTGCTTTTGTAGTCAAGGCAGAGGAAGAGGCAGATTGACACCACAATTAATCCCATCCTAAGAAGGATGTCCAAAATAGGTTGGGTGAGTCACACCTTCAAGCACTCCCCTGGGAAAGTAAAGGGAGATTTGGGTAAATAGGACTGATTGAACTGGTGTTGATCAGAGAGGGACCTGGACCCACAGAGGTGCCTTCCAACTAGCATCTGCATGACTGACTGAGATGAAGGCACAGATGCCTGTGACAACCAAAGGGAGATGGATCCTATGCTACAAAGCACCCTTAACTCCTGGCCCACATCTCTGAGAAGCCTGCATTTAGGTTCTCTTGGCAGGTCTTTACGAGGGGGAGAGGCACCCTGGCATAAACCACACAACCGCCACCCGGGATCCCCAGACAAAGCATCTTGGTAGAGCTCTGCTGCACACCTGGCAAAAGATACAGCCCACACAAGAGTTACGTGGGTGATCAGGATTTCATATCTCATTGAACAACCAGCTGCCTGAAGAGTCTCATTAGCCACAGAAACTGTTAAGTGTGTTAAAACTCCTGGTGCTTGGGAACATGTATCACAAACCCAAGAGTGAGCCAGATTACTCAGCTGATAAATAGGCTGTGGACGTACTGGGGAGTTTGAGCTGATTTAAAGAAGAATCTTTGTAGGTTATTCAAGCATGGAGAAATGGTTGACAACATTTGGCACATACATAGGTCCTCTTATTTAAAGTTATTGGGTGTTTCCGCTTCTCAGCACTGATGTGATAAATACTACTCCAGCGTAACTAACGTGGGAACCATTCTGCAGAGAGCTGCAAAGATGTGTGCAGACTCACAGGCAGCAGTGACAGAGCCACTACAGAAGTTTCTGATTGCTAAGCCAATGCTAAGTATAGCTGGGAGTCTTTTTTCAGCTGACAAATCTACTTATCCCTAAAAAGAATAATCAGACAATAGTCAGTCAACAGTGTAAGTCAATGACAACTTCTTGCAAATTCATGTCAGATAGAAAAAAATCAAAACATTTTGATGTTTTCAGAAGGAAATAGATCACATTCAATTCATTTTAATGTGACAGTTCACTTTGAAATGTATCTGAGTACTCATTTTTTAATAAAATTCCATTCACTCTGTTCTTAAATTGAAACAATACGTTTCACTTCAATCGAAAGTGATTTTTTTTCTCACCCGTGTTTCATTTTCATTTAAAATAGGTATCAATATAATTTTCAGTTGGCCCCAAATTATTTCAAATAAGTTTGCCTAACAGGCAGCTAAAAGAGCCATTCTACTTAACCATTTATAATCTTCTTTTCAAGGATAATTGGCCCCAGAATGTTTGTTTGTGGATTCACAGTTAACTTTGCTGATTTCTCTGAGTTTCAGATCTGTCTCCTGAACTGTAAAATCAGAGGTTAGACCTCGCAGAAGTTTCTGTTCTCCTTCTAGATAGCATTGAATGATTCTCAGATTTGAATAGGAAATAGCAATTAATAAAAGGGGGGTGAAATCAAAGGCAGCATATTTTGTAGTCATAAAATAAATGGACATTTGCTGTGTTTATATTATACGTATAATACAGCAGGAAGTAAGATCAAAGCCATGTTTATAAAGAACTTGGCAAGTTGCGTGCTTGGAGGAAGAAAATGGGTTCACAGGAGGTAATTAAAGAATGAAGTTGGGATTTTTAGCTGGTGTAAATCAGCATATCTCCTCTGACTTCAGTGCAAGAGTAGTGATTCACATCAGTGGAGAAGCTGGTTTAAGGGCTTAATGGTAAGACAGATAAGATAAAGGGTTTTTTTCTCTATTGAAAAGCATTTGCTTATTGTTTGTTCTCTATTTCCAAGTACCGGGAATAACTCAGAGGAACAGGATCCTGATTCCCAGCTTCATTAGCTGAAGGGTGTAAAGGCGTGAATGCAGTTTGGAGCTGGTTCCTGCCCTTCTGATCAGCCAAGGGACAAGTGTCAGTCTGGGGCTGCCCAGAAAGCTCATCCTTCAGGTACCAGCATCTCCCTAAGCTCCACAATTCCCAAACTATTAATTTGCAGGCTACAAAAAACCCCAATGTACCTGATCACTGAGAGGGAAACTGAGGCACGGTCAGATGGAACAATTAATCTCGGATCTTGCACTTATAGAAGTTCACTGCAGCCTTCCTGCTCCCTGCCTGTGTTACACCATGAACTCTCATGCACACACAGGGTGAAAACTCTTCACAGCAGTAATTTCACTCCTATGGAGAGCTGAGGTAAGCTCACCAAATACCATCCTCGCTCTGAAGCAGAGAGGTACACGTAGTGCAGCGACATGGGGAGACCAGACACCCACAACCCTGATCCACCACCCTAGAGACACCTCAGCTCCCAAGGAAACATCGGTCCTGGTGAATTATCCCACTGGAAGGTAGGTGGGGATTGAGTGGCCTCTATTAGGTGTCTAACAGCCTTGGGCTCCAGCTGTCCCCAGGGGGACAGCCACAACGCTGGAGGGAGATCTCGGCAGGTCAAAATCAGCCCTGTGGTCACGATGCTGTTTCCACTGACTTGAGAGGTGTCCTCAAGCAAGAGGATTTGAAAAATCATGAGAAAAAAGTGCAGAACTAGCTGTAATGTTTCCCTGGCTGCAGGGTTAGTTGGACACAAGTCCCCAGCGGGCTGTGGGATACGTGAGTCCCACTCAGCAGGAGCAACAGACTTCTCTGCTTTACTGAGCTCTGCTCGAAGGCCGTTGTCAATTTTCAGAAGTTATTTTAGTCTCTTTCCCGCCCCCCAAAGCTTAACTACACCGTGCCAGAGGGTTAATGAGGTCTGCCGAGTGGGGTGCCTGTTGGATGAGGTGGCGATGAAGAGCACTGGCACTTCATTGGCTGTGGGCAGCACTGGTGCTGGAAGGGGATGCTGCTTTGGCCATCACACATCCCCGGTGGGCTCTGTGCCCGCTCAGCCTCCTCTGCAGGCAGGGGGCTGCATCCTTTCCACCAGGCAAACAGCTTGCCAAAACTTTACAGCACGACCCTTCAGACAACCCCAAACCAGCACCCAGTGACACGGGCACCGTGGCAGGGCCAGGAGCTGAGGGCAGAGCTCCTGGAGGAGGTGGATCCATCCTGGGAAACCACCCAAGACCATCACCCTCGTACGTAGGACCCGATCCTGCTCCAGGTCCTTGCACAACATCAGCATTTCAGGAAGTCAGGGAAACTTATGCTTCAGAATCTGACATGCTCCTTGGGGGATCAAACCTCACTCGTCTCTGACATCTTCACCAGTTCACAACAGAGGTGGGAGCCCTGGGCCCATGGAGGCAGATCCAGCTGCCCTCCCCAAAATGTGAGGAATGGAGGTTGGGAGCAGAACGGCAAAGCTGTTTGGAGACCACTGTGCCATAATTGCAGCCTGTTTGAAACAGAGCTGCTTCCTCCTTAGCCTGAACTTTTATTAATTAAACTGCTGAATGCAGAATGAATTGATTAAAACAATTATTATGCTGCTACTTTATTCATTTGCTATTTACTTTGATTGATTATATGACTGATTAATAAATATTGAATAAGTGTTAATTAATTTAATTAATTCACTGCTGGTTTATTTACTTATCAGTTACTGATCCCTCTCCTCCATGCATGAGTTGTGTCCTGAAAGTTTGTCCCAAGGAGCATGTTCCCAGGGGCTCAGCCACGGGCAGTGGGGCTGGGATGGGGTCACTTACCAAAAGGCAGGACGAAGAAGAAGGGGAACCAGCAGAGGATGAAAACACCCACGACGATGGCAAGAGTCTTGGCTGCTTTTTTCTCACGGGAAAATTTGAGGAGCCTCACGGAGAGGGAGCTCCTGAAGTTGTGCCCCTTGCTCCGGGTGCTGGAGAGAGGCTCCTCCAGCACGCTGCGGCAGTGGATGCGCAGTACCACCTCCATGGATTTATTCCTCTCCTTCTTGACCCCTGCCTCCAAGCTCTGGGTGGTCCGCCTGGCCACCACGTAGATCCTGAAGTACATCACCAGGATGACCATGAGGGGCAGGTAGAAGGAGAAGAGGGAGGAGAACACGGCATAGCCCGGCTCCTCGGTGATGCTACAGATACTCTCATCCGGCGGTGGCGGCTCCTTCCATCCCAGCAGGGGCCCGATGGAGATGACCATGGAGGAGAGCCAGACGACCACGAGGATGACCCCCGCCTTCCTCTCGGTCATGATTGTGGGATACTTGAGGGAGTACTTGACGCCGATGTACCTGTCCACGGAGATGATGCACAGGCTCATGATGGAGGCAGAGCAGCACAGCACGTCCACCGCTGCCCAGATGTTGCAGAAGATGCGCCCGAACACCCAGAAGCCCAGCACCTCCAAGGTGGCCGAGAAGGGCAGCACGGTGGTGCTGAGGAGCAGGTCGGCGATGGCCAGGTTGACGATGAAGTAGTTGGTGACCGTCTGCAGGTGTCGGTTGCAAGCCACCGAGAGGATAACGAGGATGTTCCCCACGATGGCCGAGAGGATGAAGATAGCCAGGAAGACCCCGACGCCCACCGCCTGCACGT